AAAAAATCATGCTCTAAATGTTGAAATATGCAGAAATCTCAAAGTTCGATAATTTATATCTCTGGAGCGCTTGAGAAACTCGAAGATGGTTTCTAGAAGGAATTTTCTTGTAACGGATCATAAACATGCATGAAAACCGACAATCAAATCAACTGAAACACTCAAAAACATCCTAACTAAACAATGAAAACGCATTTTGAACATCATCCACATAAAGCTAAAGGTGCAATGAGTTGTTCACAAAGAACACTCTCGATAACGATTCTCTTCTAGTAGTGAGCCTACGTTTAAGACAATAGGCCCTGTGAAGGTCTGCATAGATATCCAACACATAAATATACGAACAGATGAATATTTTACCGACTTACTTTAATATTGCCAAGGCAATTTGGAAATAGGTTTTAAACTTTAAAACTGGCCCAAGTATCAAGCGGCAAGTGGGAAAGCAACGCGGCATGTGTCACGTCGGCTCGGTCCAGAAGCACTTAGATAAATTCGAAAAGAGGATCCAGTGGCACGATGTTGCCAATACTTCTAGACTGAATAATAGATGAAATGATTCATTTCCATTCATTAATTAATTATTCGCCAGCTCAAAGGACATTTCATAATCCTTGAGAGTATAATTGCCGTTATTCCAAATTTCCCCAACAATGAAGCACGATTAAAACGCAAACAATTGAGTAAAGTCTTTGCGTAGTTGTTGCAAAAGTACAGCCCCGAAGTGGAAAATTAGAGGCCGGAAACGGCAACTTCTGGATGAAGTTCATCTTCGATTGTCCCCCGAGGAAGCGGCAGACTCGAGATCATTTCGGACGGATCCGAATGCTAAGAAAATACAATATTAATCAGCCCTGAGCGGGACCTGAACAGTGCATTAAGGTAATGGACAGTGTTTTTCACTTGTGCCCTTTCCAGCGATAGACTTTAAAGGCAACGACGTAAACAATCGATTTATTTCAGACCAGAGATAAAGCTCCAGATCGGAACAGTATTTCAAGGAAATTTTGCAAAATTGAGCCTTAATTGGCAATGTTTTCACTTCTAGTTCACTTTAGGTTGATACTATTTACCTGCTTCGAAGTAATTCTCCAATTTACTCGTCGTCGTCGTATAAAAGCAATTTACAAAATTATTTAGTAATTTATATCCTACGCTATACTGCAGCTTTTTAAGTAATTAGCGCTATAAAACCACAATGCAAGGTACTGGATCAGCTTTGTGGGCTCCATCTGGCGATTCTGCTTTACGTTCGGTTATATCAATTTTTTCTTTAGCTAACCGGAAAACGGTAAATTATCGGTAAATCCACCCGCAATCAACCTTAAGATCCTCAGTCTTCTTTGTAGGCAAAGAAACAGAAACTTTAGAAAGCACAATCAATCTTCAGTAAAAGCAAACAGTAAATTCGCATTAGTTGGCCGCGTATTAAAAGCGCTTATATTAATATGAAATAATAGCGGAAGCCGGTAATTCACTTAAGAAAAAGCGGGACGAGAACGGCCGAAATAAAGAAGCCAGCTACTCAGCTACACAGTTTTTCACTTTTAATTAATTTTATTTAAAGGTATTTAGTGGTCTAGGGCTTCGCTGTCTCCTGAATTGCAATTTGGCTTTCGTCAGGAATTTATATTCGTTTACGAAGTTTTTTTAGTGCGCAAGATGATGCAAAACTTCCCCAACCGCATGCTTTGGAACGTTCACGAATTATTTTATATATGTATTTTATACAGGGTTGCTCATTAGTGCGTCAAAGTGCGATATCTCAGTAAATATGAACTTTACAAGAAAATACGTCCTACGAAAGTTTTTCATGTTTAAAAGGTCCAGATTTTAAAATTACTTTCCAATATACGGGGTGTATCATAAACGTGTGATAGTTACCAACTTTGGTTTTTTAAATGGAACCGCCCCTTTTTTCATTCATTTTCAGATTTGTCGTCAAAATTTAAGTTAAGTTTGTGTCAAACGTTTTACGTGAGTTAACTGTTTGACTATGGACAAACCGTTTTTAAAAATGATCTTTATTACTTAACTAATTACAAGTTTACTTCAGTATGTCTTTACTCTGACTGACTTAACATAATGTATATCTCCAACTGGAAGACATGATGCCC